ATATATATATATATATAACAACACATTTTAAAATTTAACATTTCAGATGGGTGTTCCGGACCGAGAAAATGTTGAAACAAGGGTAGTTTAAAATTTTAAAAAAATGACGGCTGGAGTAGTACTACTGTACTAGGGTGCAGGAAGCAAATCCGTAGCCTGAATGAAATTGGAGCTCAGCTTTAAGTAGAAGCCCAAAACTGTTACCAACTGTAGCGCATCTCCATGTGTGTGCGTCTGTGATTTGCAAAGAACAAGAAAATGGCCGCATCTCCACTCAGTTATCTCCTGCGATAATATTCAAACCCTTAGACTCATTTTTCAACAACCTTCTCTCTCTCTCTTTCTCTCCCTCCGTCACTGTCACTTACCACATGGGCGAAACCAAGAGAAAGCGTGGCAGAAAGCCCAAACCCGCAACTGACGAAGAAACCGCGTCTCAGGACTACAGCACCGCCTCCAAAAACGACGCCGTTCCACTCCCCGCCACCACCATCGACTCTGATTCCCAGGGACGCCGCCGCGGCCGCCCCAAGAAGATCAAGGTGGCGTCGCCGGAGCGCCGCAGCTCTAGGCTGGCCGATTTGAACGGCGATTGCGCGGTCGAGCCACCGTTGATGACGAAGTGGGAGGGCGCGGTGAAGGTGGTGCCCTCGATGGACGCGGTGGTGAAGGTGTTCTGCGTGCATACGGAGCCAAATTTCTCACTGCCGTGGCAGCGGAAGAGGCAGTATAGCTCGAGCAGCAGCGGTTTCATCGTGGGGGGTCGGAGGGTTCTAACAAACGCGCATTCTGTGGAGCATCACACACAGGTCAAGCTCAAGAAGCGCGGTTCTGATACCAAATATTTGGCAACCGTCCTCGCCATCGGGACCGAGTGCGATATCGGTATTTCAATTTCGTTCGAATTGCAATGAAATGATGCTGATGATTGATTGGTCCTTTATTTGAATTTTCCTGTCGAAATTTCGATGGTTTTTTTCCTTAACATTTATTGATGACAGTTTCAGCATATGTGTGATTAATTAAGTTTTTCATGTCTGTATCCTTCTGATGATGGTTTAGCAATGTTGACGGTGAGTGATGATGAGTTCTGGGAGGGAGTTTCACCTGTGGAATTTGGCGATTTGCCTGCACTGCAAGATGCTGTAACTGTTGTGGGATATCCAATTGGTGGCGACACAATCTCTGTGACAAGCGGTGTTGTTTCACGCATGGAGATACTCTCTTATGTTCACGGTTCAACGGAACTTCTGGGACTGCAGGTAGTATAAGTTCTAACTTATCATTTTTTCACTTTTCCATCTATATCCTACTTGTTCATTTACATATGATAAGTTGAAGTGTCTCATTAAACTCCTCTGCAGATAGATGCTGCAATAAATTCTGGGAATTCTGGTGGACCTGCTTTCAATGATAAGGGAAAATGTGTGGGGATCGCATTCCAGTCCCTTAAACATGAAGATGTGGAGAATATAGGATATGTAATACCCACCCCTGTCATCCTACATTTTATCCAAGACTATGAAAAGAATGGGGCATATACAGGTATCTAAAAGGATCTTTTACTTCTTTGTCTATTTCATACACGTCTCTTTCCTTAAAAAACCACCATTTATCCTTGCTATTGTGGATCTTAAATGCTAAGCTTTGAAATAATAGTTAAAGGAGTTTGGTGATTTTATAGTTTTTTAAGCTTAAAAGTTACTTTTTAAGTTAAAAACCCTTTGGGAATGTGTTCTTGGTTCTTGGGCTATGGAATGGAGAATAAGAAAGAAAAGAAGTTCCTCAAATTAGCTTATCTAAATGCTCTTCAGCTATTTTTAATGTTTTTTCATTTAAAAAATATATCCTTTTATACTATTGTGCTTGGCACAAACACTATCAAATAACAAATAGTGATAAATGATATATGGATTGAAGAACTGAAATAGAAAGATTAAACGGACAATTCTATAGACAATATGTACTAGACCTTTACATTTTATTTGTTTATTGTTCATAGTGTTGTTTCCTTCATGTGTCTGGCCTTTGCAATTTTGTTTAGTTTAGTTCTTCTATGATAGCGTGATTTTGAATAAAGTTGTCTTAAACACTTCTTCACTGTCAGGATTTCCAATCCTTGGAGTTGAGTGGCAGAAGATGGAAAATCCTGATTTACGAATGTCAATGGGCATGGGACCCGATCAAAAAGGTGTGCGTATTAGAAGAATTGAACCCACTGCTCCAGAATCTCATGTTCTGAAGCCATCCGATGTAATTCTCAGCTTTGATGGGGTCAATATTGCCAATGATGGAACAGGTAATCTACTATTGTTTTACTCGGTAACAAAAAATAATCACATTTAGATGCTTTATGCATGTCCTGTGCGTTGTCTTATATAGTTAAAAAAAAAAAAACTGACTTTGAATTCTAGTTTACAACATCAAATTTTTTTTCTCAAGATTTAGTGTGGGCAGTGTTAATTTATTTGATGTTTTAATCAAATGATGTATTAAAGTATCATAGAAGAGAGAGAAACACTTATCATGATTGAAAAATGAAAAGTATTACAATGAGTGTTATATGTTACCTATAGAGCTAGATCTAAGTACAACTGTCATACTGACAGTTTTGTAACTAACTGATCAGAATACTAGCAACCTTACAACAACCTGAGAGTAAGTTAGAGAACTGCTCTCTTATACAACACTCCCCCACTTCCCCCACAAACTCAAGGTGGGAGAGTTAAAGAGGGAAGCTCAAGCACCTTGAGTTTGTCTCTCAAAAACAAAAATGAGTAGAAGAAATAGGTCTTGTAAGAACATCAACCCACTAATCTTGGACAAGGATATGTTGAACAATGAATTTCTTGGTGTGGACCTTTTCTCTGACAAAGAACAGATCAATTTCCATATGTTTTGTATGAGCATGAAGAACCAATCGAGTTGTGAGCAAGAGAGACATTGTCACAGTAGATGATGGGAGTGGAGAAAAGAGACCCCACGTGTTTCAATCTACCAACAAAACTTCATAATCATAAGTAATTTGAGCTAAATTGTGATATTCAACTTTAGTAGGGGTGGGTATCAGACGTTTCGAGCTAAAATAACCATAAGCAAAATAAACCGTTTAAGAAATGTGGTTCGAAGTTGGCAAAAAAAAGAGAACTTGTATATGAATTATGTATTTTGGACATTTTCTAATATCCCTATTTATAGAATAAATGACTATGCTTAAATAAGGAAATAATTATAATAATAAAGAAATAGGGAAACAAAATAATAAAGAAATAGAGAAAAAAATATCTAAAAATATTTAGAGATATTCTTGATGACTAAATTATATTTTTGGTCCTTTAATTGTTAAAATGTTCATTTTAGTTCTTTATCTTTTATATTTGAATCAATTTAGGTTTTTTTTTTTTTTAAAACAATGATCGTTTTCAAATTTGCGACATAATCTTGAATCAATTTAGTTTTTCTCTCTAATGCCTCCATCTCCTCATTCATGACTTTAACCCAGTTTCTATCCGTCAAAGCTTCTTGGACTGACACAGGTGTTTTGATTGCATCAATGGCTACAATAAAGCTTTGATGTTGAATCAAGAGATGTTTAGTACAAACAAATTGAGAAATAGGATACCTAACATAGTAACACATGATCTCTTTCCTTTCCTCAAGGCAATAGGTATATCGCCTGTAACTTACTTATCATCATTGTCATCCTTAGGGACATTTACCTTTGGTTCTGACAATTCAACTTGTGGGAGTAGAGTGGGTTTCTTTTGCCTTTCATATTTCTTTCTAAAGAATCGATATTATTCTTCTATATCATTGTGATCCTCCTTCGTTTCTTCATTGTGATCTTCTTGTGCTTCTTCAAATTAGTATGTTGGACATCCTACAAGGAAGTGGCAATGATCCAAAGACATACTCAACTTCTAGAATACTCACCCCCTAACGTTGAGGGCTGACAATAAGGTGTACAGATTCAAGAAATGTTACATCCTTTGAAACAAAAAAATGACGACTCTAAGGGTGATAACACTTGTAACCCTTTTTATTAGAGGGGTAACCAATAAAGACACATTTGGTCTCTTGGGTCTAACTTATTGCGATGAGGACTACAAAAATGAACAAATGCAACACACCCAAACACATAACATGGGAAACTTAATAGTAGGGGAGAAGAGAAAAATGACATGTGTTCAACCGGACTAATGCCCTATAAGATATGAGTGGGTAGCCTGTTAATAAGATAAGTGGCTGTAAGGACAACTTCTCCCTAATAGACATTAAGGGCAAACATTTGAAAGAATAGAGCTTTGGCAATCCCATTTTGTTGGGGAGTATTAACACAAGTTAGTTCAGGATAATACCTTGCGCTACAACAAACTTAGAAAATTCATGATTAACACATTTAGTTCCATTGTCTAACCGAAATCTTTTGATAGACATACCAAACTGATTTTTGACAAGATGGAAAAAATTGACAAATATTTGACAAGTCTCGGATTTGTGCTTCATAAGGTAAGTCCATGTCATACGAGAACAATCATCGAGAAAGTTACAAATTGTTTGGCCCCATAAATAGATTCAACAACAGGTCCCCATACATCAGAATGGACAAGATCAAAAGAAGAAACACCTTTATTATTACTAGGCATAAAGGATGCATTATGGTGCTTAGAAACTTGACAATATCACAATTAAAAGACTTGACAAACTCTTTTGTAAACAAATGTGGAAATAGAGATTTAAGTAAACCAAATGGAGGATGTCCAAGACGTTTGTGATGAAGCCAAATTTGTGAAGAAACCCAAGTGTTTGAGGTTGCTTGGTGACTGGAAGACATCTCATTTTTTTTTGTATTGTCAGCTGTTTTATGTTGCAAATAATACAATTCACCCTATTCTGTAGCAATTAAAATTGTCTTCCCTGAGGCAAAGTCTTGAAAAGGTACAATGAGAATGAAAAAAGGTTATTGAGCAATTTAAATCTCGAGTAAGCTGATGTACAAAAATGAGATTATTACTAATTTAGGGACATGGAAAATTGTGTAGGGATAGAGATGATTGAAGTTGGATGCTTCGAGATCCAACAATAGGAACACGATTTCCATTTACAACCCTAATAATTTACGGACTGCTGGACAATGCTGCATCAATAGTGTGCAAACAACTTTTTTTTTCTTTAATGTTTCATAGGCAAAGGAAAGTTGCAGCCCCTGGTCTGACAGTTGGCAGTGTCAGGCAATTGTAGTGATGGACAATATGTCGATACCAAGTGGCAAAACCAGCATTGAGCAACAAAAACAAAACTCCCAAGATCAGGAGCTTTGATACCAAGTTGGAAAAAAATCTATATATTAATTATGTATTTTATACATTCTCTAACATACCTATTTATAGAGTAAATAACTATGCTTAAATATGGAAATAACAATAATAAAGAAATGGGGAAAGAAAATAATAAAGAAATAGGGAAACAAATATCTAAAGATGTTTAGAGATATTCTAGATCTTCTAAGTATCTATGATATTTACAACATCTGGTTTCGTCCAAGAGAGCTATCAGATAGGTTGGGTTATTTGGAGTATAACCCTACTCCTTATTCTCCTTTTACGTTTTTTGTTTTATTGTATTGTAATTGTCACTTTCTTTTTCATATGCAGGTTTTGTATAACAATAGTATAAGGTTATCTTTATGTTACTTTATGTAACTAACGTTCTTAGTTAATTAGGTTGTTACCGCGTTTGTTAGCAATTGTTAGCCTTATAAATACTATATTGTACTTTGTAATTAGTGGGTTGAATAATAATACTTAAACAATTTTTTAGTTCGTTCTCTCTCTCTCTCTCATACTCCAATATGGTATCACATAGCTAGGTTCAATCCTTTCTCTACTTTATTCTCATCATTTCTCACACGATGAATTCTAATCCACAACCATTGCCACCTCCTCCTATCAATGCAAAAACATTGAAAGGTGCTTCTTCTCAACCAGCACACTCAATGACGTCACTTTCTTTGATGTTCTCGCATTCTATATAAGAACAACTTAATAGCAAAAACTACCTACTTTGGTGTCAGTAGCTCAAACTTGTGATCAAAGGACACTGGCTTCATCATTTTCTAGTAAATCCCTAAATTCCTTAGAAATTTCACTCTCGCTTCTTAGAGTCTTATTTTTCTTGGGAACAACAAGATCAAATACTCTTCTTATGGCTTTAGTCTTCCATGTCCAAGGAAATGCTCACTTGTATCATTGGTTGCATGATGGAACCTCCATTGGTGAATGATAGCCGAATTCTCCATGGAAGCTCCTTGATCCCATTTTGTTCTTCCTTGATGTGTTTCCAAGCAAAATGAGCAAACAAGAATGGGAGAAAAGAGTGGAGGGCACGCGCCAAAAGCTTCTAGAGAAGGAGAAGCAAGCGAAGCGGCACTAATCCACAAGGAAGGGACCTTAGAGAAAAGGAAGAGAGAATTCAAAGTATGAATGCTCATAAATCTTCAAAGTGGTTGAATACAAGGGAAAAGGAACCTTATATAGATCTTGGTGGCTTCTAGGAGAAGTTAAGCTAACCATGGGTCAAAAGTGAACCATGGTTGCTTAACTAACATGTGGCGTGCCAAGTTTGAATTAAAAAATTCAAATTTGGTGTGTGAACCAAGGCTCTCACATGTGCAACTAGATCTAGGAGTTTGAATTATGTATTTGTGTGTCATGTGATGCACATTTGCATTTGAATTTGGTGGTCCATGTGCATCTAACCACATGATCGGTCACATGGCTTCCAATTCAAATTCAAATGTCTATCCATGGCCCAAATGACTAATAATTCCTATGGCCCATCAAAAGCAAAAACATCTTCAACTTGGCCTAAGAAATACAAGGCCCATAAATCCTACTCTACAAGGCCCAAAGTACAAGACCTAAAAATACAAGTCCAATCAAGGCTCAAAATCCTATACTATAAATCCCATAATACAAGGCCCAAAATAAAGAGAAGTATTGGGCTTTAAGTAATAGTCCAACTTAAGAGGAGCTTAGGCCCACTAACCTCAACACAAGCCCAATCCTCTTGCATCATCCTAGCCATGGCCCTAGTAGTGGGTCCCTTGGTTATGCCTCTGCCATCATTGCAAGTCTTTTTTTCAACTTTGGGACAAGATTTACTTGTATTTCCACGCTCACGCATGCTAAAGCGCGCCAACTGCAAAACAAACTCTGCAACACGAATCTTGAAACTCGCAATGTCTCGGACTACTTTATTAACATTCTGAGTCTTGTCTTGATAGATTCAAGAAGGCAATTGCCTTTAACAATATTGTTGAAACCTCCTCAAGTTCTAACACTCGTGTCGCAACCTCAAGCCAACATCGTTCAACATGATTTGAAATCATATTCCTCACAGTATCATGGTGGAAAAAATGGAAATAGAGGAGGTAGGTTCAATAATCGTGGTGGTCGTGGCATTGGACGATACGTTGTGTACCAGTGCCAAGTATGTCATCACTATGGTCACTTAATTTCAACTTGTTACTTTAATTTTGATGAAAACTTTGTCCCCTCTGTACCTTTTGATTAGAGTCATCTTGGTCTTATGGATCACGTTGCTCCACAAAATACGTGGTACAATGCTCAAATTACACTTCTCAACAAGTACTTCGCCCTCCCTCCAATACAACATCGTATTATTTGTTCCCACACTTTGATGGGCGCATATACATCTCCAAAGATGTTGTTTGTAATGAGTCAAGATTCCCTTATGAGGTTCTGTTTTCATCAGAATCTATATCATCCTCACAACAACCTGTCAATATCCCTATTACAATAACTCCATCATCAGCCTCTGTATCAGAAAATGGTTCACACACATCTACTCATAATCACATCTCTACATCACTTCTGCTGCATCCAGTGAACAAATCCAACCCACAGTCTCCTCACCAAGAAACTCAACTCCATCCCAACATGCAACTACTTCTACTGCACCTGATGAATCACCATCTCAATCTCCAAACATACATCCTATAACAACACGATCAAAATCAGGCATAGTCAAACAGCGTCTATAACCAACACTTCTTTTAACTCAAGTGGAACCAAAACCAAAAAACAAACCTTATCCAATGACATTTGGCGAGCTGTAATGAATGAAGAATATAATGCCCTGATTTTTGACCCTGTATGCAATTCAGTAAGAGTATTTGAAAGGGTATCACTGATTATGTTAATGATTGATGTTAAAAAATGAGATTTAAATTGGTAAATTTCCCATTATTTTGGAATTTGTTGCTGCAGTAGAAACCTGACTGAGTTCCTTCATACATTAACCTGACCGAGTTCCTTCATACATTCAATCCATACATGAAATGTCAATGCTAATTACTCTCAAACCTTGTTTTTAATTCTATCTACTAGTATTTTTTTGTTTTTTAAATATTAGTAGTTTGTATTATAGCGTTTCATTTAATTATTAAAACTTTGTATAGTTTACTTGGTTTCAGAGCTAATATTTAATTATGGGATATATTTGTAGTTCCATTCAGGCATGGGGAGCGCATTGGTTTCAGTTACCTTGTCTCTCAAAAATACACTGGGGATAGAGCTCTAGTAAAGGTTTTCCGGAATTCACAGATACTTGAATTTAACATAAAACTTGCAACTCATAAGCGGCTTGTTCCAGCACATATCAAAGGCAGGCCTCCTTCTTATTACATTATTGCTGGATTTGTTTTTACTGCTGTTTCTGTCCCCTATCTTCGTTCTGAGGTGAGTAGTTATCTTTCATACATGTTTTCTCTGCTTTTGTATATGCTGTTTGTACAAATTTGCCGAATTCCTGAATCCATATACCCTTCTGTTTTGTCTGCCTCATCTCCTCTCTTTCTCGTTAATTTGTCTTCTGCTTTATGGCGAGCTGGAAGCCAAAACTTGTTTGCTATTGTTTGTTGGATTGAAATTGCATGTTGTCTTATTTGTCACTGCCATAGACAGAATATTTATGTGTTAACTCATGTGGTTGTTTGTTTTGAACTTATGATGCTTCTTGGGGCTTTATGCTTTATGAAATTCATAGCTGAGAATTAGTAGTTTTTCTATTGTTGATCAGAAGTGTTCTTCATACACTGGGTGATCCATATGACTTCCAAAAGTGAAGGAGCATTCTGATCCTTCTTGTGGCAGGCTGTGTCTGTGTTTTCTTGGTCTCTTCCATGACCATTGTTTTAAGTGGTTTAAATACTAATGAAGATGCATTTTGAAATAATCGACATTCTTGACAGTTTAGAATTGGTTTATAAATTTATTTGTTTGACCCAGTGCACATAGATAAGGCTGGGTCAGGTTTGGGAAAATGCATTACTTGAATCAATGAAAACCTCTCGGGATGGGTCAGGTTGGGCTCAAGCATTATTTTTCTGCCAAACCTGGCCTAAAGGCCCTAAACCAACCTTATTCAAATTGGGATGGTTTGGGTCTGCTCCATTGATTCTCATTTAAAAGAAGAAAAAAAAAAAAACTCTACAAAAATCAAACTTTTTCTAGCTTCCAGATTCAGTTTCATGACATTAACAATGATTTTAACATTAAACAGAACAAATTAAAGTTATTTCATGACCTATGAACTACACATATAAAAAGAAAATATACCAAGAGATGTTATATCCAAGAGTCTTATACAAAAACAACATTACTTAGATGTTAGGACTTTTTGGGGGGTATTTTAGGGATTTTCAGGAAAAGCACAGCCAAAAGGATAAACCCTGCTGCAGATTGCATCTTTTCTCTCTCTTTATTAGAGATCAACTCTCATGCTTGTAAATGAATGTTCTCTTTTCTTTTTTATGATTGGTCCATTGTTAGTGCTTTAGGTCCATTGTTAGTGCTTTAGGTCCATTTTATCAACTGGTGGCCCATATTCTATTCTAAGTCATCAATAAATAGGTGACTTCTTCTCTTGTAACTAACTTTCAACAGAATCAATAATATAATTAATTTGTAGTGGCATGAATTCTCTGATTTCTATCATGGTATCTAGCCCAAGGTTCGAACCCTAATGCACTTCAATTTTTCTCTCAACCATATTTTGCGTTTTTGCTTCAATTTGTATCCACCTTGGTTGCTTCGTCTTCAATGGTGATTTCTTCCAATGCTCCAATAACATTTTTTTCATTCCATTTTCAAGATGCTTGACACCAAATCAATAGGTCAAACCTATCATCACAGGTCATCATCAACTACATCACTATTTGGTGAATCAAGTGATTCCACCAAAGTTTCTCATGGTTGAAGATCGTGAATTTGTTCATGACTCTGAGCTTGCATGGGAATAGTAGGATCAATTGTTGCCAAGGTTGTCAAAAATCGGTTATAACCCCGTTATAATGGAAAAACGGAACGGTTTCAGCTTCCTCCGCCATTCGCCATCCGTTATATGAAGCTTTATGGCGGTTTCCGCCATTTCGGATATGGTGGCCGCCATGGTCATGGCGCCGTGAAGGTGTATAACGGGCATGGCGGTCATGACGGGTTTTTTTAAAAAAAAACCTATTTTTGGGCTTGAAACAGGCCCAAATGGAGTGAGCCCTAGGTTAGTGCTTGGCTCGCGTCTCATCTCTCTTCTCCCTCTCGCGACTCTTTGCAGCTCACAATCTCTTTTCCGCTTCTCATCTCTCTTCTCCCTCACACTCTGGCCACCTGAAACGCAGCGACTGCGGCAGCCCAACACTCCGGCCACCTGAAACGCAGTGACTGCGGCAACCACGAAGTGCGAACAGCACTTACAGAAGTCGAAACTGTCCCTGATGGGTTCCTTCTCCATGAAATGATGTAGGGATGAAGGCATATAAAAGGTTCATTTTGAAATGAAAAATGCCACTTCTTAATCTCAGATTTTGCAGCCTCAAGTTCATTATGGAATTATACAATGAACTGGTAAACATTTTTAGGAAACAAAGAAAGTACAAGTCAACCTATATACTGAACTTTGGGCCACTCTGTTAGGATACTCAACTCCAACAGCTTAGGCTCAGTTATGTGAATGTTTTTTTTTAATTTTTATGCTTCAAATGATCCAATATACGTTGATCATATTTCACTGAGCCATTTCACTTTTCTACTAGTTATCATCTTGAAAAAGCAAAGAAAAAGGAAGCTGCATTCATTGTCACATTTGCAAAACAAGAACAAGAGATAGCAGAGTTGAAGGTTGGTAACAATTTTCTGAACATAAGGTTCTTATTCTTTATAGCATGTGTATGTGTTAATTTATTTATTTATTTTGTGTGTACATTTATCACCAGAGTAGATTCCTTTTTTTCCTTAAAAAATATATATATTTTGCTTGAGATCTCCAATGTTTTGTTTGCCGAAATTGCTGCAAAGCTTTATATATCCTTGAATCATGAAGGGTTTTGTATCACTTATTGACCTGTAGTTGGAACTTAGAAAGTATTTTTGCACCACTCGAAATTGAATTTCTCTTTTTGAGATTTGAGCTTTGGTTTCATTCTGTTTAGTAGTAAAATGTCTGGTTATCATGGTTGTCAAAATTTCAATGCTACTGTGAGATTGGAATGGTGGAGTGATCTTGATTCCAGCATACTCATTTATGCTTGGATCATGTTCAGATATTTTGTTTAGTCGTATAATTGTCATGATCTTACAATCCTACTGAACCCACTATAGCCAAAAATGCAGATGAATGAGCTGCCAAACATTTTAAAGGACCATACCAAACCCTGAAGATGACAACTGAAGACTGATGGAGATGAGAAATCCAAATT